CTTCCCTTTAAAGAGATGCCTGGCTTCTGCTGGACCGCTGCTGAGACGGACAGCCTGTCCTCTCTGGCAGGCAGCAAGTTCTTCCTTATAGCTACTAAGTATCACCCATTGATCCTAGTTCCACTCGCAGGAGCGACCTGGGACTAGCAAACTGCTTGAATTTTCTAACAATCTACAGACCAGTGGAGGATATGGGCACTAGTATTGTGCCTGACCCTTCAGAAGACTGATTCGACCTGGGATGACAACAATATGCCCTCCGAGCCTCCATACAGCTTGGGGCACTTTGACCCAAGAAATATCTTATATCATTAATTTCCCATAGGGGAGATGGGGCATGGTGGGCACTGAGAGTTTGTTGAACCATCAGATGAGAGGTCCACTGATTTGTACTTGCAAGCTCAAAGGCGCTGAAGTACGTGTATTTCAGTTTTGCAATTGTAGCAGGTTACATCACATCCCCCTTTCTCCCCCCAAATCTAAGGGTCTAACTCATTAGCGATCCATAAATTACATTAATTACACTGAGCTCCAGTCTTTCATACCAATACCTTTCTGTTCAATACTCTAAGGTCCCCAGACCCTCATTCTCTGAACATTCCAACCAGGGGCCAGGGTTCAATTCTCACCACCCAAAGCAACTCTCAGATCCAGAAGGATGTTCCAGTAGCTCTTCCCTGTGGACCCTCTGCCATCTGAGTCCTCCCACATCCCTTGTATCAGCTCCAACGGGTACCCCAACCTCTCAGATAACTAGGATGCCAGGCCTGGGGTCTAACATTGCGGGTGTGCCGACTGCTCATCCTGGGGACCTAACATTCATGGGTGGCTTTCAGAGGGTGATTGTGGCCCCTCTGATGACCTTTTCCTGCCTCTTCTGGAGGTAGGTAGGAGTGACGCAGAGATGACCTTGGTCTCTATAAGACAGTTGTATAGCCAGCCAATGCCATGCAGAAGTCTATCTCTGGTTATTAATGAGCCAGAAGAGAATCTGCTCATATGAGCAAATATGACTTAGACATCTCTGCTGTGCTTCTCAGGATCATGTCCCTGACTCTGAAATGTGTGCCAGAGGAGACTAGAGCCCCTCCATTCTCTGCTACTGACTTCTCTCCCTGATGTTCAGACAGTGTGTGACCTCAAAGGCAGGTCTCTGGGGGGTGAGGCCAAGGCCCTGCATTTGATCACCTCTAGATAAGGATACAGGGAGAACCTCCAACATGGAGCCCTTGAATGGGAATTAGGAAAAGGCTGAATCTCAGCTGGTCTCCTCCAGTTGGACTGACTTTGCCCGCTTCCCTGTTTTATTTGGCTGTGATTTGGAGCTGGCATCATTGGCTAAGGAGCTCAGACTAGTTAGATGATGAGGCAGGCAAGTCAGGGCTTTGAGATGAAAAGGCCATTGTGTCTCATCTTTAGAACTGCCCTGCAGCTTGGGTCGACCATTTGTTCCTAAGTCTGTTGGCCCAATATAATCTGTTGGCATCATGGCTTAGGATCCTGTTCATTTAACCCTTGGAATCACCCATGTTTTCCATGGCATTACTTCTGCCTCATCGTGGTGCTGATGGCCTGTCTGTCCAGCCCAGGAGTGACCATTTACAGGCTAAGGGAGGGCAGCTTTCTTCATTCTGTTCTAAGGCAATGAGGTGCAGAATTATCCATCTCCTTCAATGGCTCTGGCTCTGGGCTGGGCAGTGCCTCCTGGCTGCTCCTCCCTGGCCTTCACATCTGCTGTCTGCAGCAGCCTTACTAGACTCACACCTCTGTGCACACAACAGATTCACCCAGAGCTGAGGAAGTGTGGGTCCTGGTGAGGGCACACAGCAAGAGCTAGCTCAGCCATGGGGAACGGGTGTGAATAAACATGATTGGCCAGAGGGAAAATTACCATCTTTGCCCTAAGATGCCGAGACTTACATAAAGCAACATCCTTGCTCTAGGTGGTTCTGGCTAGTCCTTCCCCATCCCCTGGCCTGCTGTGTCATAGAAGCGACCACTTACCCAGTGGACCATATGCATCCTTGGTTCTGAGTATTCCTTTTATGTCCCAACTTCCTGGCCTTGCCTTCCTGTTTTCCTGTCTTTAGCTTTCCAAATCTACCTCTTCTATTGGCCGAGGCTCTTCATTTCACATCTCTTCCTATTAACTGGCTGACCCAACAATCTATAGCCGAGAAATGGCTGGGCTGGGATTGAAGCTGGGCTGGGAAACTGAAGACTGAGCTCTTTCTACCACAACCCATGCCTCACCAATGGATGAACTGTACCACGGTAACCAGTGCTTCCTGGTAGCACCCCCTGCAGGGAGGGCCCTGTGTGTCATAGGAACCCATAAATATTGTGGTTTAAGTGAAGAGCCTTCCAGACCCCAAGCCCTCATGTGCAGTGTGTGCTCAGGTTTGCTGCATCAGCAACCGTGTGGACTCCACCTGGACAAAGCTGCCGACATCATAAACATATGCAGGTGGGGATGCTTCCTGGCTCCTCGTTCATACCTTCCTCTTCTCCCAACAGGGTACATAGCTAGGAGGTGAGAACCACGAGGCCCTGCACTAAGTGAGGGCACTCCCTTTGGTATCCAGAAATGAGAAGCTGGTCCCACTTGTGGAGACGCAGAGACCACAAACAGTTTTCCTCTGCATGGAGCAAGGTGAGTCCCCCCTGTAAGTGGAGGGTGGGAAGGTACCATAGGGGAGGCGGTGTTTGATAAAGCTCAACTTCTTGGGCACCGGTGCCCCGTCTCACCCAAGCCCTGGCCATGTGGGATCTTCGGGAGGCATCTCCACTCACCAGCCTCAATTTCTTCTGTGTAAACTGGCCTAAGACCTGTTCACTGCCCTGCTATCTTGGGAGGTGGCTGGGTTGTGAGGAAATGAGGGACGAACGGCGGGAACCATCACTGGCCCTTGGTTATCCCACCGTGGTCTGAGTTTTTACAGTTTTCCTTCTGCCTGAAGTCACATTTTAAATCCCTACCATTTGAAAGGATAGAAGCCACTGCCATTTTTTATCTGCCAGCTGTTTTACCCCTTCCTGAGCAGAATAAATCTCGGGATTTGTGTTAGTAGCCTTAGTCCCCCCATTCTGTATGGATGAGCCAAGATCTGAGAAAGGAGCATATAACAGGGTGATTTGCTAGGCTGTAGGCTCTTTGAAGGCTGGGGGAGCGCCAGCTGGAGCCGTGGACTGGAGCCAGGCGAGGCCAGCAGAACCAGTGGGGGCTGGGGCCCGGGGACCCGCTCGAGCTCACGGGGAAGGGCCCATGAAAGGAGAAGAGTGAGTTCTTCCTGGGGCTCCTTTTTCTTCCTTTGCTTTCAGATGTTTCTTTTTGAACCTCCAAAGTGACAGCCCTTCCTTGATCAAGTCCCCGGACTTCTAGACAGCTTCCGAGCCCGTGCCACTGGGAGCAGCGTCTGTGGGTTCTTTCCATGTCCCCTCCTGTGGGCTCTGGCTGGGTCACCCTGCCCCCTGGTAGAGCAGAGACCCTGTTTCTCACAGAAGCAGAAGCTCACAATCCCCTGCGTATTTTGTTCCAGCGACAAAATAATGAGCAGACAGACAAATAGATGTGATAGTAAAGAGTATATGCTGAAGGGAGTGTTTTCACAGTGTCTGATGAAGGGGAAGAGGCCGCCTGCCCAACACTGAGCTGAGCGCGTCACCCCGAGCTCCCTGTGGCCCATGGGGCGAAGCTGCACTATTGGCTGAGCATTCACCCCTGACCCTGGCTCCTCTTCTGACCTCTGGGTGGGCTGCCCTTCCCCCCATACTGCCCCCACCCCAGGACTTCCCACACCTCTTTGCCATTGTCCATGCTGATCTTGGCCTGGATTTCCTGCAGTGGAGACCCAGCTGGGGTGGGAGTCACCTCCTCTAGGAAGCCCTAGGCAGGCTCCCTGCTCCGTGGCTCCTGAGCTGCACTGTGGTTCAGTTTCCCCAGTGCACTCTGAGCTGCTGATTCCTCCTGTCTGGGGCTAGAGCAGCCTCCACGATGCAGCTTCCTCCATCCCAGGCAACCCCAAGGCTGTCAGGTCCTGAGCCCAGGCCCCTGTGAGAGACAAGGTAGGGAGTCTCTGGTGGCAGACAGCATTGCCTGAGGGAACAGGGAATGGTTTTCACTGGCGAAGGAATGATTACAGGAGACTAGCTTTTCCTGGGGAGCCAGGAACGAGGCACTAAAATAGAGCTGAAATTCTGGGCCTCCCAGAAGAACTGGCACCAGAAAGAAAGAATTAAATTTCCATTTGTGGAGTTCTCTGCCCAGAAGTTTCTGGCCCTATTTTCCCTCCATAAAATAATTGCTTGGCTGAGAAAGGATGGAGAAAGTAAGGAAAATAAGTGTTATCGCCATTATTCGCCTTTCTGGAGCCCAGAATTTCACCGCCGAGGAAGATGCCTCGGCTTCCTCACGTAACATGGAGATAACGAAAGGGCACGCACTCTCCCCGGGGCGGGGGTGTCCCTAAGATTGTGGGATGGCACACGGAGTGGTTCACCTGGACACACAGGAGATGCCTAGCTGATGCCGGCTCCCTGTCACTGACTCACACATCCTTGGGCAGGACCCTAGTTTCCCAGGCCTGATCCCCTCAGCCCATTTTAAACCAAGCATAACTGGTCCACAGTGGCCTTTGTCAGGATAGCAGCTGGGTTTCCTCGGAAGATTATGCTGAAAGCGGGGACTCAGCTGCCCAGAAGCCAGAGGAACGGCCTCCGCCTAGCCGACTCTGCCTCGTCAGAGGCTGGGCCGTCCCAGGTGGGACCCTTTAAGGATGTTGCCTGATGACAGGCCAGAGAGATTGGTCCTGTAGCTACACATCCAAACTTCCTTCCCAGCCCCACTCCCTTTTTTTTTTTTTTTCCACATAAGAGACTTAGATTTTACATCCCCCAAAAGAAAGTTTCTTTTAATATATGCTTTGGAAAATAATCAAATCTTATCCTGTCATCTCTCCCAAAGGGGGCGCCACCCAAGGGTCAGCAAGAGCCCTGCCTCCAGGCAGTGGTCCCTTTTCACAGACAAGGAGGAGCAGCCACCATCCCTGCAGTTCCACCCCCTCCCACCGAGGACAAAAAAGCAAAGAAAACCTTCATCCAAGAGTGCTGTGGACCCAGCAGGCTGGCGTGAGTGACAGAGGGTCAAGGCCCGGGCTGGGGAGGGTACAGAATGCTGGAGGGCTAGCTCCGTGCAGGCAGGGGGGCAGGATGGGGCCCCTGCTGTGGTCTCGGGACAGCCCCAGGTCACTGAAGGAGACTGCAGAGGGCAGCAAGGCAGGGACCCCAAGAGGCCAGTCACTGCGCCCACAGCGTGGAGGCGGAGACAATCCCCTCACTCCCAAGGAGAAGCAGGCCCGGAGGTACAGCGAGCCTGCATCTCCGAGCACCCCAGCTGGCTTGCCATGAGGTCCACACACTTGGAAAGCACAGAAGCAAGAGGTCGGGGAACTGGGAAGTCCGGGGCCTTGTTGTGGGTCCGCATCTGTGGCCGGTGGGGGTGCAGGAAAAGCCTGGACCTTTCAGAACCTATTTCCCAGTTCCAGGAGCCCCTCAGAAGGTGCAGGGCCCACCCCAGGCATGAGATCACCAGTCTTCTCCTTGGAGTTGGGCCAGGTGCCACCTCTTAGCCCGTCACTGCCATTCACAGAAAAGGGGGTTTGACTGCAGCAGCCTCTGGACTCCAGCAGGCTCCCCATCCCATCAGGCTAAAAGGAGCTTAAATATTCCAATGCCACCTCGTATACGAATTTATACTGTTCCTGAGAGGAGGAGAGAGGCAGACAGGGAGAAGGGAAGGCAGGAGAGAGAGGGAAAGGAAAGGAAAATGCATTTAGAGGTATGATTTTGGAACGAACTTTACCTACATCTGTGCTAACAGTCAGCTCAGAATTATCCGTGCAGATTCTGATTCAGTTGCTCTTGGGTGGGACTCAAGATTCGGCATTTCTACCAGGCTCCCATATGCTACTGCTGGTCTACACACCAGACTTTGAGGGGGACCCACTGAGAGTGGGTTAAAGACTCACATTAAAGTTATGTGTGGTCTGTCCCCATCATTGCACCAGGTCTTCTCATTGGGGGCTCTACCTGCCCAGTCTCTTTCCATCCCTTTCTCCAGTGTCCTATTCCAATACCGTATTCAAAAAATTAGCCTAAGTCAATTAGACTGGGATGGAACTGGATCCAAAACATAATCCACACTGTACAATCCAGAAGCCCTTCCCCTAAGCCTGGGTTAGTGGTACTTCCCTAAAGAACGGGCAGAGAGTAAAACAGAGTGGGGTGTATCAGGGTTAATATGTGGGCTGCCCTGCAGGAAAGAGAAGTTGGTGAGACTGGGAGCAAAGGATGTCAATTGTAGGTGATAAGTCACTGAGTGTTTTACTATTTGATGCTGGTTTCTTCCGGCACAGGGAACTAGGGTCACACCCTGCCTGGGGGAGAACAGTTCTCGGGACACTCACCAGGGTCTCCACCATATTGGACTTGTTGTTCCGCAGTGTTTTCACGATGTGGAACACGTCAATGATGTTCTGCTGCTGGATCATCTCACACACGCTGCAGATGGCACAGAAGGTCCCGCTGCGGCCTCCCCCATTTCTAAACACAGAGGGAAGGGTAAGTCAGACTCCTTCGTGGGTGCCCTACTGGCATGGGGGAGTGACTACCTTGGCCAAGGCAAGGTAAGGCACTGGCGAAAGCCCTAACCCGAGCCATGTGTCAGGGTCTGCGTGCCCTGAACCTGCTGTGAACTTGGGTAAGTCACTCCTTGTCTGAGCTCCAAGTTTCCCATTCATGTAATGGAGGGGTTGGACTAGAGGACCCGGGAGAGTTCCGTTAGCTTGATGTTTCCTTGATTCTGTGAGCAGGTTATAGTCACCATGGCACACCGACCCCAACCTTCAGGCCTCATGGTGTCTTTATTCATGTGCCTGCATCCTTGTCCAAAGGGATGCTCTGGGTCCACCCACTCATCCAGTGAAGGCAGCTGAAGGTTGTGTATGATTTTCCTCCTAGTTTTCCCACCCACTAGGGACAGCCAGCCCAGGTGTTTGGGTGGGGGCCAGGCTGGGTCTGAGATACTGTGTCCTGAAGTGATAAGTCTCTATTTATACACCTGCGTAAGCAAGACCCTACAGCTCTGGAGAGCAGAGATAGAGAGTCCTTGGCAGGGCCAGCTCCCTGCCACTCCTTCTTTCTGAGCCTCCACATGTTATCTTCATGGAGACATCTCAACTCTTTACAGAGAGTCCCTTTTGGAATCTGCCTGATTCGGAACTCCTGGGCGTGTTGCCAAGAGTAACTAATGATTTCATGTAATGGTCTGTGTCTAAGGAACATCTGGATGAAACTAAGGCACTTGATCTCCCAGATGTTTTATCTATAGGACATCCAACGACCAGATGCTTCAAGTACAGACAATTGCCCTCATTCACTAGCCAGCGCCTGCATTTCAGTGTCTGTTTTGGTGACGGTGGCTCCCAGGGGTGCCAAGGTCCCTGTTGATAGAAGGACACCCCTGTGCTTTCCTTTGGTTCAAACTGCTGGTCACCTTGGACAGGGAAGAGAGGGATAAAAACCAATCACATAGGAAAGAGGAGGGAGGGACCCCCAGGAGGGAGGGTTCAGTATTTTCTGGAGCAAGAACAGCAGAGCCCAAGAGGAAGAGGCATCTCCGGCCAGTGAGTGAGACCCTGGTGAGATGGGTGTGGCTCTGGGCTGAAGGAGAGCCACCTGAGTGTGGGGGAGGGAACTGAAGGGAGCAGGGTTAGCTGGCAGGGAGCCAGCTCAGCCTGGCTGATGTCTCCCATCAATGAGACATGCAACACCTCATGGCATCTTCCTGGACTACAGTGGGCATCCCTTGGGAAGGGGGATTGATACAGGTGATGGCCCTTGAGCTGTGTGTGTTGAACTTCGCTTTAAGCTCTGTGACTTTTCTGACATGCGTGTGCACCTCCTTTTAGAAAGAGAATAAGCTGGTTTTGAAAAGACAATTCTGAGGTCAGTAGGTGTTATTAATGCCTCCACTAACTCCACAAATAGTTATTCTGAAAAGGGGAAGTCTCTGGCCCAATCTTCCTTAACACACCTTTTTAAAGAGGGGGCCCTCTCAGTCATGTCTCCCCAATGACTTTAAGGTTCTAAGAAGCAAAGGGAATGGTTGTGAATCAAATGTTCCACACGAGCTGTCATCTCTCCCGGTTTGTTTTGGGTCTGAGGTCTCTAGGATCCTTCTCTTTATACTCCTATGGTGGACTTGGACACAGGCATTTGCATATTTGCTACCATGATATTGCAGATTTGTATGTTGGCAGATAAACTGTGTTTACTTTCTAAATATGTCACAAAGCCCCACAGAGCCTTACAATGACCCAATTCAGTAGATGAGTAAACCAAGGCTCATAAAATTAAGTGATTTCCGTGAAGATAGCTTGTCAGCCACAGTCCTCTAAGGGACCTGCCCTCCACCCTGCGTGATGACATCAGGGTCTGTTTGACCCGGAACCCCTGTGCCCCAGCTATGCCTGTCCTAAGACAGGAGGTGAAGGTTCCATTTCACCTCAGTAATGGAAGTATGAACGCAGCCGACCTGAGCCCACGGTGCCCTGGGAAAAGTGTTGCAGACACAGTGGATGAACCACCTTGGTTTACTCAGCGTGGGAGTGTGGGTTAATGGATGGCACGTTAGCCTGGAGGCCAGTGGATTCTAATCAAAGCTCCTCTCTTAACTACTTGATGCCTCACTGCCTGTGCCTCAGTCTTCTCACTGTGACATGATAAAATCTACCACAGATGGAATGAGGTGACTCATTTTAACTGCCTGGCATTGAACTCACTTAACCCATTCCCCTTTCCTCCTTTTCTTCAGGAAATAATAGAAGAGGGTTTAGTTGGTGGAACCCTCTTCATCCTGAGCCTTCTTGTGACTGGCAGGCCACATCCTGCTTCCTGCTGGAGGGTGGGACTTACCTGCCTCCTGGGAGCATAGGGGTGTGGTCTGACCACACTCCATGTTTGGGGAAAGGCTACCAGGTTTTGCATCAGGAAATATGTCACATAACATTAGTTCAGGGCAACCCCAGTCCATCGAAGGGTTGAGATTCTTTGAATACACTCCCATTGGCCTTTCAGGGATGTTGAGATGTGGTGCAGCCAGGCGTGCCTAGGACTAGTGTTTGTGGCCAGCATCCTCAAGGCCGTCCTATCATCCACCACCCCGTGGCCCTGGAGATGCCTCCCCATTACAGTACTCACAGGCAGTGGACCACGGTGCGTCCCTCCCGCCCATCGTACTGCTCCTGCCACTTCTCCAGCCGCCGGACCACTTTGAGTAGAGAGCGCTTGGAGGGGGGCGTGTCCCGGTAGGCGGGCCAGCCAATGTACTGGAGGTGCTGGACTATACGATACCCATCCTGAGGCTGAAAACAGAGAGGCTGTTAGGGCTGTTGCAGCATTGGGTGGAGGACAGACTAAATGAGGTCTCAGCCATGTCATCACGGGGAGAGTCACAGACTCTTTACTCATCTCTACACTTTTGTGCATACTGATTTTCCTGCCATGACTGCCCTGCACCCCTTCTCAACCTGGAAAACTCCTACTCAGTCTTCAAAACCCAATTCAAACATTCCATTCCTCAGGAAAAACCTGCCCTTTCCCTGAGGTTCATGTGCCAGAATATATCTCACTTTCCCACTAGATCAGTGATGGCGAACCTATGACACGCATGTCAGAGGTGACACGTGAACTCATTCTTTTGGTTGATTTTTCTTTGTTAAATGGCATTTAAATATATAAAATAAATATCAAAAATATAAATCTTTGTTTTACTATGGTTACAAACATCAAAAAATTTCTATATGTGTCACGGCACCAGAGTTAAGTTAGGGTTTTTCAAAATGCTGACACGCCGAGCTCAGAAGGTTCACCATCACTGACCTAGACGGTGAACTCTGGGGGCAGGGGTTGAGTTCTGTTCACCCTGGGCCCCCACAGAGGCCCGTGTCTCTTTAGTTAGCCACCATTCCATAGGTTACTGATCTGCCCCCTTCCACCCACACTCCTCCACCCAGCCAGCGAGTTTCCTCTTGGAAGTGGCTCTTCTTCTTTTTGGTGTGGTTCCCAGGGTCTAGCCCAAAGCTTACTGGATCCAATCAAAGGCTGCATCTACAGCGCGACACAGTGGGAAAGCGCTAATTTCTAAGTGTTGTCTACATGGCAGCAAGTGTGTCAGGAAACAGGCAGATGGCAGGTGGGATGTCTCCCTGTGTGAACCTGTGTTGGAACCATGGCTGGAGCTGGCATCGGCAGAGGCATCGCTTCCCCAAGGACGAAATGATCCGAGAGTTCAGCCCGGACGCTCATTAGCGGCGGGTTCCTCTCCCACAGGCTCCATCTATTTGTGTGTGTGTGCGCTGGGGGAGAGGGCGGCGTGGGATGCAATGGCGGCCGCACACTTACCCGAGCCATGTTGCAGATGCGGAATATTCTGTGGATGATGTCCTCGTCGATGTCTGCGGAGACGAACTCCACCTGGATGGGCCCATAGCACCCGGAGGTCTTCTCAGGCCAGTACTGCATACAGAGCTGGGAAAGAGGCCACAGGAAGAGGCCGGGTGGGAGGGCGTTAGTCTCATGTATCACTAAGCCTTTCTTATCGTAGGCAGAACACACTGGCTAGAGATGCAGAGTGTCATGTAGGAAATTAGACTCCGCTTCCCTATTGGGGAGCAGCCACCCATTTTGGGGGGTGTTGTTGAAAAGTCGAAGTTCTGAACACACAAACACTTTGCTGTGATGATTTCACACCATTTGCTAGACTTGCTGGGCCTCACTTTCCTCATCTGTAAAATGGGGAGAATGGTATTTACCTCGAAGCGCTGCTGTCAGACTTAAGTAGAACACTCCAAGGGAAGGGCAGGTATAACCTCTAGTTTTCTTTTCACTAATGTGAACCTCGGCAAACACTTCCCCATTCCAGGAAAACCTTTACAATCATTTCATGATCAGATCATGAACACTTTAGAATATATATAAGCTTTGGCATCAGACATGCTTGGGTGCAAATCCAGGCTCTGCTCCTTACTAGTTGTGTGACCCAGGCCTCAGTTTTCTAATATGTAAAATGGAGATAACTATGCTTACCTTACAAAAGGTAATGTAGCATCGTGTTGAGAGGTCTTGCCTGTGATCTTTCCTATTTTTCTGGAATTGTGAATCAGATCCTGCAGCTGAGAGCAGAGGCGACGGTGGCCCCACAACCTAAGACAGTGTCTCAGCCAGAGAAGGTTTTGTCATTCTGGGGACATTTGTCAATGTCTGGAGATACTGTTGATGGTCACACCTGGGGGTTTCTATGGGTATCTAGTGAGTGGAGGCCAGGATGCTGCTCAATATCCTCCAATGAGGGTATACCTTTCCCCCACCCAGGACTCTGACCCCCAATATCAATAGTGTAGAGATTGAGAAACCATGGCCTAAGATCACAAGGGATTCCTTAGGTTTATAGTCTCATCAAGAAAGAGACAGACACTTCATTCTTCTCTATCTGTTAAGCCACCAGATGACTTCAGTTGGAGAAAGAACATTGAGGTAGTGGCAGGGGATGTGGCTCAGAGGGGCAAATGTGCTTCCTCAAATTCCTGCTTCCCAAGGATCATGGGGGCGAACTCTGTCCAGGTTTATAGGCCTCAGCATTGGGCACGGAAAAGAGCCAAGTTGAGGCTGTATGCTTGTCAGGGGCCACTCCAGCATGGACCCTCCACCTGGGGGTTGCCCAGAGGATGGAGCCAAGATTCACGAGGCCTCTGAGGGCCACTTGGTCTGCCACAGCCTACGCCAGCTTGCAGACAGCAACCCAGTGGCCTCCTCACAGCTACCACGGATGCAGGATTTTCATGAAAGGGATCGATGTCCCTTTGTGGAGAGAGAGCAGTCACATGCAAAGTGGATTTTCTCTATTCTTTCTCTCTCCAGAACTGGAACCAAATGGAAAAGCCAGGAGGAGGAAGGATGAAGGAGAGAGAAAGCACACATCTCCAAACATCCTAGCTGTGCAACCCAAATTCCGGCTCAGGGATAATATTGGTCACAGGATAGGCCACACCTGGCCAGCACCGATTCTGTCAGTAAAGTTTTATTGAAACACCGCTGTACTTCTTTGTTTATGTATTATTGTCTTGCGGTTGCTTTCGAGCTACAATGGCAGAGCTGAGCAGACCACATAGCCTGCAAAACCTAAAATATTTCCTATCTTGTCCTTCACAGAGAAAGTTGGCCGACCCCTACACTGTCAGCTTGTTCTGGGGATAAAGGAGATGGCGCATGTGAACAAACAGGCATGGCATAAGCACCCACTGAATCCCAGCGACTCACAGTATTATTGAGCCTATCAGTGCTCCACAAAAATAACAATTATGATAATGCCTCCCATTTAAAGCTGAAGGATTCTTCTTATCACCTGTCTGTAATAGCAAAGACCTAACGAATGGTGGTTGCTTTCCTGGCATCTCCACTGGGGGTTATCCGAGCATGTGTGTGGGTGGCTGTCACAGGGGCCCTGTGGCTGGACAGTCATCTGCTGAGCTGGGCGGTTATGCGGTTATGACAGATCCACAATTTGACCTTCATTTCTCTTTGCCATTGGCTCTCCTGCCTTGCACCCTTCCCAAGTGGTGAGGGACCAGCACTGATAAGTCTGTGACTGGCCAGAGAAATCAGAACTCATCAGAACTTCCCATTAAAAAAATAATTGCCTTTATCATTTGCACTGAATTTGGCCTTGCCAGAAGTTGACCGTGATCCTGACATCAGGTACAGTGGTCCGAGGCATCAGGGAAAGTCAGTTACCCCCAATATTTTCAGTCTGGAGAGAACGTGGAATTATTTGTCTCTTTTAATAAGATTTCCAGACCAATTTCTCAAGCTAATAGGTTCTACTATGCCTCAAACAAGACTCCTACATTTGGGATACTTCCCTGCATTTGATTTTCCAGGTCACCCTCCCGTAATGCCCAGAGGGCTGGGGAAGTGTGTGGGGCCTTAATCCTAAATCAGAGCCATCCTTTCCCTTGAGTTCCCTCACTTGTGAGATGGCGGCAGCAACAGTGTGGGTGACGTGGCGTTTGAGCTGCCAAGGATCATCAGGGTCTCCCCACAGCTCAGGGTGCCACACATAATCCAGCCCTGGGGACAGAAGGAAGGGGCGGGAGCTGAGTGTTCCCAGTGACCCTCTGGGGCTCAGAAATGATTCTCATCAACAAGAAATGTCCTCTATGGTTTAGCTCAAGGCTGTCCTGGCCTCCAGCCATTGGGGTTGTGCCTTGGTGGGCGCGGCCTTTCTGGCCATGTAGGCAGTGTAGCAAAAGGGCTCCCTGGGTTCAAATCCCAGCCCTGCCACTTTCTAGCTGAGTGACTTGGCCAAATCTTTTAGCTTCTCCGAGTTATGAGTGGCTGTGGATCTGAATGTGTCTGCTTAGCACTGGGGTCTGTAAGTAGTGAGCACTCAGTAAATGTGAGCTACAATTATTAGGCAATTTGGGGGAGTGCCCCTCAAACAAGATGGATAAAGTGAAGTTTTTTTTTTTTCTCCCTCCACTTAGTAGCTCTTATGAAAATTTCTCTTTAAGATAATACCTAAAGGACTGCCCTTGTGAAAATTCCTGATCAATCAGCTTAGGGGAGCAGTGGGGACTGGACATGTTCTGGAGGGGGACCCAGGAGATGGGAGAGGGAGGTTGGGATACAGTGAAACGAAAGTGAATCGATGTGTCATGTGACCCCCCTCCTAACCTAAATATTCAGCAAATTTATAATAACGTGCACAGCGCTCAATATGTATTGATTTCCTGTGGAAACCAGCGAGGAACTAAGCTTTCTCCCTGGGTGACAAAGAAACAAAGCAGAAACATATATGTGGTCTGAGGGCCAGACCACGAGCACATGAGCATCAGCATTTTATAGAAATCTTGGGGGTGAGGACCCTGGAAATGGGGGGATTCAAAAGCCCACTTGACCCTCTAAAACAGCGGTTCTCAACCTGTGGTCACGACCCCTTTGGCGGTCAAACGACCCTTTCACAGGGGTCTCACCTAAGACCATCCTGCATATCAGATATGTACATTACTATTCATAACAGTAGCAACATGACAGTTATGAAGTAGCAACGAAAATAACTTTATGGTTGGGTCACAACATGAGGAGCTGTATTTAAAGGGCCAGAAGGTTGAGAACCACTGCTCTAAAACCATGAGGTCCCCACTGACCTGGGGCCACACGTACACTCAGTACCACTTTGGCATTTTCTTCCTTAGATGGAAAACTGTCGAAATGGCCGTCTCCAAGAGTTGATTCACACCCTTTAGCCTAGAGCTGTGTTCGGCAAACCGTGGCTCGTGAGCCACATGTGGCTCTTTGGCCCCTTGAGTGTGGGTCTTCCACAAAATACCATGTGCAGGCGCGCACGTACAGTGCAATTGAAACTTCATGGCCCATGCGCAGAAGCCTGTATTTTGTGGAAGAGCCACACTCAAGGGGCCCAAGAGTCGCATGTGGCTCGTGAGCCGCGGTTTGCCGAGCTGCAGTTTGCCAACCACTGGCCTAGAGCCTGGACCAACAGCCTTTTTCCACCTTTCACTCCAGTATCTCCCTCCTTACCCAGCAGGGAGGGTGGTGCTGCCTATCTGAGCGCTTCCTCACTTCAGACAGCAGACCCTGCGGAGGACCACACCTGAGGGGAGCCGGCCCAGCTCGGCTGCTGGTTAGAAACGGCCAGGCTTCCTCCAGCAAAGCAGAGCAGCTCTTGTTTATTGTCAGAACAAGTTAAACCAAGCGGAAGTCATGACGCCTGTGTGGATGGCCAGGAACAGCTGCCATATATTGTTCCACACGGTCTCCATGGCTGTGTGAGCCGTGCAAAGAGCAAATTCATCCGCGAACAATAACAAACCCAAAGGCAGCTCCACTGTTAAACATCATCTGTTTTCGCTGATGGAATCAGAAAGCTTGTTAGTCACTGATATAAATGTGCCCTGATGCATTGAACGGAAACTAGCATATGTCCTATTTGGGGAATAAACAACTTTAAAGCACATTTCTGTACACCTTAGTCTGCCTTTTGTTAATTAAATAATACTTTGACAAAACGGAAAAGCCAAGGAATATACAACTTCAGAAATTAAAGGCTTACTTGTCAAGGTCCCTCTAATCCACAGAGCAGGGTGGGTGGGGTGGGGTGGGGGGAACCAGGCCCAAGCCACCCAAGATGAAGTGAATTCGTATTTTTAAGAGAAAAACAGAAAAGACCCACCTGAATTGATTTTAAAATTCAGGTTCATGATTATAAAATTCCTTTAAATAGGTTTGATAAGGCGTCCAAATCAAATAATTGGTTTTAATACTGTGGCCAGTTAAGGAAGACAGATGGTGCGTGAAGCAGTGGACACAAAGCAAGGGACAGAGAGAGGCACATGGGCCATAATCATAGTGATCCGCACACCCCTCCTCCATGCAGCCTCTCCATTGTCGGACGGGTGAACAGTACAGTCTCCATCAGGGGTGGAAACTGACTTATGACAGCTGCATCAGCA